ATATATATATATATATATATATATATATATATATATATATATATATATATATATATTGCAGTGCCGATGATACAAAATCTGGAGTCTCAGTTGAGGGATAATGAAGTCCCGCAAGTCCTTCAACTCGTAGCACCGTTACCAGCATCAGAAGGCAGCAAAGGTGAAGGGTCGGAGGTGAAACCGAAGAAGATTCATGAACCGCTGGTCGATCCACTTGGAAATGCTCGGACTCAAGTGCAAGATGACATCGCTAAGGAGTTTGCTGCACTTAGGGCTCAGGGAACCTTAAGTCCCAGTGAAGCTGCTGCACTTGCCACCAGGAATGTCATGCAAAAATATGGATTCTTGGATTCCACTTCCAATTCCAATTCCATTTCCGATTCCAAGTCTGATTCCAAGTCGGACTCCAAGCCCAATTCCAAGTCCGATTCCAAATCCAGTTAAAACTTGGTTAGTTTTAATGGCGTCTTTCTGATTTTTCTAACCTTCTGTTCGTGTGTAGAACGATCGATGGGACAAAAATATTAAGGGCGTTTTGTTTTGTTTTGTAGCACGGCTTTTAAGAAATATCTATATGGACCATTTTGTCAAATAATGTCCTCCTTGGCCCTTGCACTTGAAAATTGTAAACAGTTTTTTGAACTACTTTTAATTGTCTGTTTAGTTGTTATTTTATGGTGAATTGATTTGGAATGGATTGGATTTGTTTGGCTTGGCTTGGCTTTGGCTCGGCAAGATTTCTAATTTTGTTCTTGTGGGGTTTATATTTCACACTTTTAGTGAAAATAATTTGTTAAATTAAATGTTGTAATTTGAATATAAGAGGACAAAACAAAAGAAGACCTTATGGGCCAACTAGTTCCAACAATGTAACTTTATCCGACAAACTTAAATGCCATATTGTGCTCTAAAGTGTTATTAAATAGAAACAAAAACGTATTTATTTGTTACTAACAAATGGTGTCATGTATGTTGCAAAATCATCTTAGTTTTTTGTATCTATATCAGTTTTGTCACACTACATGTTCAACTTGTCATTTAGGACGCTACATGTTCAACTTTACCATGTTGAAAAGAAAAAATAAATAAATAAATTCACAAATTTAACCGTTGAACGTTGGTGAGAGAGAGAGGAAGCGGCCGATTGCGACATAGGAGCTTCGAGTGAGTGACAGGCTGTCAAAGAGCAAAGAAAAAAGTCTGTGTGTCGTGGAGGACGCCTTTGCTCGGCTCAAACCAAGGCTGGGGTTTTATCCCCATTTGTTATCCCTAGAATCATATCATTTTACGGAGTACTAGCTTGAATAAAGCATATGATCATTTGACAATTACATAGTGTTTTTTTTTAATATTTGTAAAAACAAAATAATAATTTCACGCTTCGTCCGTTATTTACAATAGTGTAAATCTGATTATTTTTCCAAATTTGTGTCATAATGGTAATTTAATTATACTAGTCATAACATTCATACTCCATATTAAATATTTATCTTGAAACGGATTAAACACCTGAAATGAGAGTGCACCAAATAGAAGAAATCATAAACATAAAACTATCAAAGCACAACTTAAGCAACAATTTATTATTTGAGTTAATTTCACAAAACGCATTACATTTTTTCAATCTTTTAATCGAAAAGAAGTCATTATTTTATATTTATTTATTTATTGGAAAAAAAACATTCACATTTCGAAAATTTTGCAGTTTTGCCATTGACATTTTTTTTGCCAATTCACCATCTCTTGAGAGTCCGTAGCTAAACTCTGGAGGGTTAATTTCTAACTAATAATTAAATATATTTTACATCTTTCAATAACAACAAAATATATATGCTTTCTAATCCAAAAAAAAAAAAAAGGTTACAAAGTGGGATTTAAAATGTATAATATAATTATTGACCAATTGCCTTGTAACAAAAATAAAAGAAGAAAAAAGTAATGAGTCAGAATAAAAGTTAGTAATTTCAATTTTCAAGTAACGATTATTAAAGTACAAAAAAAAAAATTTGATTGCCCGAAACAAGTGATTTGAAAAACATTTCTTACCAGAAGATGAGGTGGCAAGCAAGAAGCATCCACCAACTGCAACCCCCGCAGTGGTGGTGATATTAGTCGCCACCAGCCTCCCCAAGGGACAAAAAAATAATTATATAACACAAACAAGTGCAGTTACTTGAGAGAAACATTAACTTGTATAGCAGATTCTGTCAAAATTATGTCTTTTGAGTTGTCTGCTTTTGGGTGGTCAAGTGAATTGATCTTTAACTTGACATGTAATGGCCTCAATAAGACGTTGTTACCCTTCCCACTCAGGTTTAAAGCATCTATCAATCTACCCACCTCCTGCTTCTTCTTAGAATCATCACCGTTTTTAAGTCTCAAGTACAATGCAGCATTGATAATAACCTGGAAGAAAATCAAAGATGTATTTTTTGACTGCTGGAAATCACAACCTACTATAGTTTTTTTTTTTTACCAGAATGGACGTAATAACAATGTACTTAAATTTCTTTACCGATAATAGCAACATACTTACAGTTCTGTACACACAATAACAACATACATACGTTGCTATTATGGGGAAGACAATATAAGTAGGAAGCAAAAAATTGGATATGCTTGAAGAAGAAGATTTTAGAATACCTCACTTGTTCCTGGGCTAGTATTCACAGCACAATCAATGAATACGTTTCCATCTTGCACTCTGGAATCAGACATGTTTTTATCCTCTTCAGCATCCAGTTGTTTTTGTGTTAAAGACGCAAGTTCATCTAACTCATCATACCATTGTTGGGCCACACCAACCTGCATTCATTTCAGGGTAATATTTTAAGAAAACGGAAGGGCAAATTTGTAAATTGTAATTCAACCTTCTCTGTGGATTCAGCTTTGTTCTCGGCTCCTAAAGTTTCAGTGGCGGTGCCTCTTGTTTGGCGCCATATACAAGCTTCATCTAGCGGCTCCACAAGCTCTGTATCTTGAGGGATTTCTACTTTCATCCGTATGTCTATCCTGCCTGTTTGTTTCATAACCCTTTTTTTACTAATGAAAAATAGAAACAATGATCAAGTGAAAGAGCATGTAGCCATGTAGATAGAGACAGTTAATTAATTACCTGGTAACAAGCTGAAATGTTGAATATGATCCAGGGGAAGTCCCGAGACACCAAAACCACTGTCACATCGGTAGAAAAAGGTATACATACATGAGTGTCCTAAACGGGCGGGTCATGGGTTATAGAAATAGAATAAGATTACTCACGCAGCATAAGCTGATTCCATAGGGGGCACCAACCAGTATGGCAATCCAAGCATTCCAATATTTGAAAACTCGAAGCTTGTCATTGAGTCACAAGTTTTGTTGTACTTCAGCACCACCTGACCATCTAACCATTCTTGTTGTTTATAGGATATTGTAGTTCATCAATTAAAAGAAAAAGAAAATATTTAATTTTACCTGTGTCACAAATTACGATATTGTCCTGAAAAGCTGCCACCGAAGAGAGCAGACCCGCATGTGAAATACCCTCCACTGAGAAATTATTTTGTGGCAGCTGACTAGGCGGTATTTCTTTTACAAGGGATGATTTCCTCTTTATCAACTGTCCGCAGATCTCTATAATATTTGCAGATCCTTCACACAACAAAAAATATTATTGACTAACATGATAATTAACCTAGAAACCTCAAAAGAACATGTAGACATTAAAAGTCAAACCTTTGACCACTTCTTTAATGATACCAGATGACAGATCCAAGATCCATAAAGTTTCAAAACTGCATGAAAACATTATATAGGAGATCAACAGTATATCATGTTAATCAAAATATGACATGTAAAATGTGATTTACCTGCGGTTGAGAATAAGGAGGTCGTTTTCCAATGACTTGAGAAGATGCCAGGGGTAAAAAAGTAATTTAGGATCAACTTCCTCAGAATTTAAAGGAACGTCTTTTGTACTCCAAAGTTTATCAATGATCCAACTCACTAAACCGCTTTTTGTCTCATTGACATTAGGTTTCGGATATAATGTCTCAACAGTCCTGCTCTCCATATCAGCTCTCCTTATAGCATGATTCTTTCATCATATGAAAAATAAAAACCATAATAAGACTATTGCCTATCAATATATTTGTAATTATTCATTTAAAAAAAATACCTCTGAGTCAACAAAATAGAGGTAATCATCCTCATTGTGATAAAACAAAGCAGCAGGGCGGATTATTTTGGATGATTCAAACTCTCCATCTTCAAATCCAGGTGAAGATCCAATCTGAAAAATATATACATATATTTATATTATTAGCATAAGCTTTTAGCTGCTCAAAATTGAAATGCTATGTGAGTTACAAATGGAACTCCTTACATACACAATCTAAGATCTTTCCATTGCCATCAAACACAATTATACGGTGGTGATTTGTGTCAGAAAGAAACAACCGTTCATTAACTTCATCAACCTCAATGCAACCTGTAAATTATATTTACCACAACATTAGCTAAGATGTTGTTTCTTTTTTAAGCAAATTGCAGAAAATAGCAACCTACTTTACTCATTTTACCAATATAGGCAATGTACTTTGTAACTATGTTGCTATTATGACTAAAAAGTAAAGTACAATGCTATTACCCACAATTTGCTCTTTCTTTTTGACTGAATGGAGACATGACTTAATCTGGTAAGTTATATATGGGTGTCTCTTTTTGACTTGATGCAGAAACAACGAATTAATACAGAAAGTCAGGGAAAAAAGGCTTTTTTTTTAATAAATTTTGCCCTCATTTACTTTTCCTTCTAGTGTTGACTACTGTACCTGGAAAATAAAGAAGTAAATTCTGCAATGGGGAACAGAGATAGGGTTCCTTTAAAGCATCAAGTGGCTTTACCCAACTGCCTCTCAGATTATGCAACAATCCTGGTTTTTCTTTCTGTTGCACGATTAACTCCTTAATGGCTGTAGGTTTTTCATCACAACAAAATAAATAAATAAATAGAAAAGTAATATGATACAACCCAAAATATAAACAAATAAAAGTGAAAAATAGGGCACCTGTCTCGAGAATTTCAAAATCCACATCTTTGTCATGCAAGAGTAAAGGACCTTCCATACCTTTAAATATTATGTAGCCCATTTTATTAGACATCTACAAACAACAAACAAGGATATAATCATATAAACAATACAACAAAAACGATTCTTACAAACACTGAAGATCCATCTGGCAATATAAATATTACCTCAGAAAGAGATTTGTTTGAGACTAAAATAGGAAATGTGATGTATTCACTCATGATAGTCTTTGCTAAATGAGAACGAACAACATCACTGCTAACTGATTTGCAGAACTGAAATCCCATAACATTGAGGGAAGGATGCCTGGAATGATAAACATATAGGAAAATGAATATCAATGAGTTTTAAAATTCGATGCAAGTAAAGTAAAAAAGCCAATGATAACTATATAAACTATTTTTAGACCTTTGTTGAAGTGATTTTACTTTTTCAAACATAAAGGTTGAATTGTGGCCTGATTCAAGAAAAGCACCAGCAACAACTAAGAACACTCCATTTTTCCCGGTTAAATCCTTGGTGGCAGTGCTTCTATTCAAC